AAACACGTACTGACATATCTTGTAAAAAGAAATTCTATTTTTCTCTTTAGTATAAGCTGTCTGTGATGGAAAAATCTTGCTACATTTGTGAAAATAAATAAAAGAATAATAGTATGTTTATAAAAATATTCCATTTAAATTCAGGTTACGTTTGACCATAATGGACGATTCTGCTTAACGACTTCATTTTCTCATGGCAGTGTAGATGTATATTACTTGGTTCAGGCACAGTAAATGCCTTCAATAAAAGCAGGATCATCACGTTAGTTTGACGTGTAATGATCCTTATTTCCACAATTCTGTTTCTAGTTATATGTATATATGTATATACCTGCGGTAAGTATGCTTGCAAGCTTCCAGTAACGTAAAAGTTTAGTCACATCAGGTTCATAGTAGAAGGTAACGGTCGCTTTCGGCGTTTCGGCACGTAATATTGCAAAGCCGGATTACTCTTCCTACCATCATCAAAACTTCCGTTTTTATTACACAGCAGCTCCTAGTCATAACTTTTATATCTTGATTTCGTTAACTAAAAACAGTAATTATATTTCTTATGATTCCAGACCAACTATAATTTTCATATTTCCAAAATTATTGATTTTTTATTGTTCAATTTCAAAAAAAATAAAAATAAAATTCAATTATTTTTTCCACAGATAGAAAATAAATAATTTCTGTTTTAACGGATTTCTCTCATTTTAATGCAACTTTTTCTTTTGAACATATAGCAGGTTACAAAAGCTCTTTTTTTGAGACGGTATTACTATAATACCAAGTTGAAAAGGACGCATTTATGATAGCAGAAGAGAAATTTTTTTTTTAAATACGAGATTACTTTTCTCTTTGAAATACTCTTTATATTAGATCAACTGATATTGTAAAAATGTTTTTTTTTTTTTAGTTGCGTATATCGTCACGGGACAATCCTGAACAGTTTTAGTTTTGACGATATATGCATCAATGACGCTCAAGGGGATAATATATCATAACGCGAAATATGATTTTTAATAAATAAAAAACAACAAAATTTTTTTGATTTATTATTAAAAAGTTGTTTTTTTTTCATACAAAGAATATTTTATTTCATCAATTCCTAGTTTTTGAAATACTATTGTTTTTCTAGAATTATTATAGTATATTTGCATAAATATTCAAGATTTTTGACATGAGAAAATCCCTGCATACAATTTTAAGAAGATTTTTCATTACGAATGTAAAACCATTTTAGTTTTTTTTTTTTTTTTCTTTTTTTTTTATTAAAGTTTGGGGATTATTGTGACGACTTTCATTTAGTTTGTAAACGCAGGGATATGCTGGATTGGAATTCGTTAGTGAAAATCTGGGTCGACCGGTCGTCGACATTCCGGGACATTAATTTCAGAAGTGTTTCCATTCACACCCCGTACAAGTTCATTGGCCCGTAAGGGCTCTTTTCAGAGCGCACGCCCATATCTTCTGAGAAGTAAAAGCTCTTTCAAATTGCAACGAGGTCTGTCTTTATTATTAATGAACACATTCGCCTTCTACTATAGTCAATGTTTAACTATAACAACCTACATGAGATACGATACTTTGCATAACACAAAAAAAATATTTTTCAACACAATATTTTCAAATTCTTTGAGATGTTTTATGGGGCAAAAGGTTCTAAACAACTAGGAAAATTTCTTTTATTCATAGTCATGAGAAATGCTTCTTTGTAGATTTTCATGTTCAGGGTTGCTACGCTTTTTGGAAACTTCGAAAACCGAAAAAAATCAGGGAATTTTATTTAGTATGAAAAAGTTCAGAAACCAAAATGATTATCAAATTATTTTGCAGGCATTTTTGGAATTAGATGATGGATTTTGCAAAAATAGGTCACGGTTTTCGTGAAATTGGATCACGGAATTCGCGAAATTACATCACGGATTACGCGAAATTTGCTCACGGAATTTGCGAAACTGGGTTGTGGAATTCGCAAAATTGGGTCACTGAATCCGCGAAAGAAGGTCACAGAATTCGCAAAAGTAGGTTTCAGTTTTCGGGAAATTTGGTCACAGAATTAGCGAAATTAGATCACGGATTCCGCAAAAGTAGGTCACGGAATTCGCAAAAATAAGCCGCGGTTTTCGCGGAATTAGGTCACGGAATCAGCGAAATTAGATCACGGATTCCGTGAAAGTAGGTCGCGGTTTTCGCGGAATTGGGTCGCGGAATCGACTAAATTAAATCACGGATTCCGCGAAAGTAGGTCACGGGATTCACGAAACTAGGTTGCAGATCTCCCAAAATTAGATCCCGGAATTCGCGAAACTATATCGCGGTTTTCGCGGAATTGGCTCACGGAATCAGCGAAAGTAGGTCACTGAATTCGCGAAAGTAGATTTCAATTTTCGCGAAATTTGGTCACGGAATCAGTGAAATTAGATCACGGATTGCGCGAAATTTGCTCACGGAATTTGCAAAACTGGGTTGTGGAACTCGCAAAATTGGGTCACTGAATCCGCGAAAGTAGGTCACAGAATTCGCAAAAGTAGGTTTCAGTTTTCGGGAAATTTGGTCACGGAATCAGCGAAATTAGATCACGGATTCCGTGAAAGTAGATTTCAATTTTCTAGGTCGCGATTTTCGCGGAATTGGGTCACGGAATCAACTAAATTAGATCACGGATACCGCGAAAGTAGGTCACGGAATTCGAGAAAATAAGTCGCGGTTTTCGCGGAATCGAGTAAATTAGATCACGGATTCCGCGAAAGTAGGTCACGGAATTCGCGAAAATAAGTCGCGGTTTTCGCTGAATTGGGTCGCGGAATCGACTAAATTAGATCTCGGATTCCGCGAAAGTAGGTCACGGGATTCACGAAACTAGATTACAGATCTCTCAAAATTAGATCACGGAATTCGCGAAACTAGATCGCGGTTTTCGCGGAATTGGGTCAGAGATTCGAAAAATTAGTTCACGAATTTTAAATCGTTGTACAGTATCAGTAAAAAAAAAGTTCTGTTACGAATGTTCAAATTTTAAATATTACTTTTTCTATTGGGTGCCCAACGTCTACCGAGCTGACGCTCCGACAAAAGTTGCAGTTTCGGGATCAATAGGTTCTGTGACCAGTGAAACTACCGCAGAATGTTACGATTGGCATGCATCCAGCGGCTCTGAGCCAGTGGGGCTCATTAGCCTCCGAAAAATAGGACTGGTATCGGCCCATTATATATTATATCGCTATCCCCACTTGAAAATATTCACCGTCTCTGCTGAAGCCGTTTCCGTGGGAAATTACATGGAATTCCGATTAAATATCAAAGGAGACTTTCGATTTCGCTGAAAAGAATGCCAGAATTTCGCCAGAAAATGGAACGAAATTCAGTCGGGTTTTTAATGAAAATTAAAACGGAATTTGGATAGTAATTATTATCTAAATTCCGGAATTTTCTAAGAAACTTACAGAAGGTATTAAACTCTTTAGAGGGATTATCGTGGTACGATTACTAGTTCCCTCAAGAATGTAATTTATTTTAGCGACTTTGAGTATGTGAGCAGTAAACTTAAACATGACTGACTTATTGGATCGCGACAAGTTTTGGGATTAGTTTCCTGCTTGTTTTGCTTCAATACATAAGCAGTGTATAAGGATTTGTTTGAGAATCAAAGTTTACATACGATATATTTATTTGCTGAACGTTCTATAAATTTTGTAAGCTTATCTAAAAGTATATTGTTTCCTATTATTATTAGTATTTACATTATTCTTCTGTGTTAAAAACTTTTTTTAATTTATTTCTCTATAAGAATTAATTTAAAATATAGTAAATTTTAAGTCTATTTTTGAAAAAAATAGATTATTATAAAATATGAAAAAAAAAATTTTTAATAAACATTTTATGATCTTTTAAACGAATGATAGTCGGATGTCATTTGAACTTCAAGGCTCGGGTTAAGTATTGGAATGTGAGACGTTTAATCATTTTTCTCGCACTCTTGGGTTGCTTTGTACGCCTTTTACGCGAAGAACTTCCCTTGGGAAATTAACGAGCGAATCGATAGTTCAACGACGAAGAAAACTAGCAGAAATCCAACCTCGCACTTTTTCGCGAGAATCTGCTTCGATTGAACTCGATTTTTTTTTCTTAATTCACTCACACACGTCGTTGAAAAAGTACGTGATTTTATATGTCCTCGAAATTGAATTCGCTTTGAGAATAAAAAAATGTTTCACGTTTCTCTATATATGTATATATTGACAAGTATTGCATTCGAAAATAATTAACTTTTTTTTTTTGTTCATAGATAGAGAAAAAATCGATTGTTGCACAATAAGTTAACAAAACAAAATAATGCAAAATTGTTGTTTGGTCTAGTAATAAAAAAATAGTAGCAAAAAAATATTCATAGGAAATATTTTTTTCTAAATCAAATAATCGATTTTTTTTTAAATCAGATATTTCTAAAAACACAGGTTATGCATAATAAAATATTTTTTTATTTCAACCGTGTAAGTGTTGTTTGTTTAATCCATTCGAGCTTTTTAGCTTGAATTGTATTTTCTTGAGAAGATGGGAATACGCGACACCTGTAATAATAGTAGAAATGGCTCAAGGTGGGATTTCCAGTGTCGTTGAACAACAAAAGCATCTGGCAAGGTACTCGCACTGTGATTCTAGGCCATTTTCAGGCGACAAAACAAACCTGCATACAAAACCTGTAACTCGCCTTTTCAATTAATATAATTCTCTTTGATATAATTCAAGTACATTTTTCTCCGACAATTATCACGCTTTTCTTCATAATTCATTTTGAGAATTATGTTTAATTACCGACTTGTCTTTGTGTAAAGTTTTATTCTAATTTTAAATAATTTTCTTTTTTTTTAAAACATATAAGATTTAAACAAAAAATTGTACAAATTATTTTATTTAACTTTAAAAATATCTTAGAAACAGTTTAAAAAAAAAAAACTAAAAAAGAATACAATAAAAAATAACATTTTTATATATTTAAAAATTAAAATTCTTACCTTATGGAAACGAGAATCATGGCAAATATCAAATATTTTCCAAGGAGTGGCACAACCAAGGAAGTTGGAGGAATGATCTCGACGACCAGGAGGAAGAACACGTGAAGACTAATAAGAATAGAAATAGACAGTGTCACCTGAAATAAAAAATATGTACATTTTTATTTTCCAGCAATTTCATCTTGAAAAACATATTACAGAGTAACAATTGCATTTATTCGAGATAACGAGGTTTTGTTACGATATATCAAAATGGAAATATCGAAGAAGATATTGCAAAAATAAATTAAATACGAATCTACAGTAATAAAAAATTAAAATAGTAAATTAAAGTAATAAGAAAGTAGAGGAATAATAATGAAAGAAATGATGCATTATTACACTTGGCGTTCGGTTTGAAATTTTCTATTGTTAGTGAGATTTTTCTTTTTTTTAATTCTATAAGTAGTATAAGTAAATCTACAGTCAGACTTTTTAAACATTCTTATAATTTTGCCAGTAGTATAAATAAATCTTTAGTCAGACTTTTTATTCATTTGTATAAATTCTCAGTAGTATAAGTCAATCTACAGTCAGGCTTTTCGAACATTCAAAAAATTTTCAGTAGTATAAGTAAATTTTCAGTCAGACTTTTGAAAAATTCGTATAATTTTGTCAGTAGTACAAATAAATATTAAGTCAAACTTATATAAAAGTTTGTATAATTTTTCAGTAGTACGAGTAAACATTCAGTCAGGCATTCTATATTTTTAATATTATTTTAGCAGTAGTATAAGTAAATGTATAGTCAGAGTTTTTAAACAGTTTTACAATTTCTCAGTAGTATAAGTCAATCTACAGTCAGGCTTTACGAACATTCAAAAAAATTTCAGTAGTATAAGTAAATATTCAGTCAGACTTCTGAAAAATTCGTATAATTTTGTCAGTAGTACAAATAAATATTAAGTCAAACTTATATAAAAGTTTGTATAATTTTTCAGTAGTACGAGTAAACATTCAGTCAGGCATTCTATATTTTTAATATTATTTTAGCAGTAGTATAAGTAAATGTATAGTCAGAGTTTTTAAACAGTTTTACAATTTCTCAGTAGTAGAAGTAAATCTTCAGTCAGACTTTTTGAACATTCAAAAATTTTGTCAGTAGTATAAGTAAATATTCAGTCAGACTTTTGAAAAATTCGTATAATTTTGTGAGTAGTACAAATAAATATTAAGTCAAACTTATATAAAAGTTTGTATAATTTTTCAGTAGTACGAGTAAATATTCAGTCAGGCATTCTATATTTTTAATATTATTTTAGCAGTAGTATAAGTAAATGTATAGTCAGAGTTTTTAAACAGTTTTACAATTACTCAGTAATAGAAGTAAATCTTCAGTCAGACTCTTTGAACATTCAAAAATTTTGTCAGTAGTATAAGTAAATTTTCAGTCAGACTTTTGAAAAATTTGTGTAACTTTGTCAGTAGAATAAGCAAATAATATTTCACACTTTCTAAACATTTGTATAATTTTTCAGTAGTACAAGTAAATATTTAGTCAGACTTTATAACAGTTTGCATGATACAATTTTGTTAGTAGTATTTAAGTATATCCCTAGTCAAACTTTTTTAATTATTCGTATAATTTCTCAGTAGTTGGAGTAAACCTTTAGTCAGACGTTCTAAACATTTATACATATTTTCAGTAGTACGAGTAAATATTCAGTCAGACATTCTTTATTTATAACATTATTTAGTATTATAAGTAAATTTTTAGTCAGACTTTAAAAATTCTGATAACTTTTCAGTAATACTCTTATAAAATTGTATTTACTTGTAAAATATGTTTTCAATTCTATACAGGATTTTTTTTTAAATATTTTACAAAAGTATTATTTAAATTGAAATCACTCGTATTTACATTTAAAAATCAATAGTCTATTTACTGTTTAGTTCTCTTGATAACGAAAAAAAAACTTGTAAGTTTAAATTGTTTATCCTTTTAATCTCTTAAATCGTAACAATTTTGAAAAAAAAAGAAAAATCTGTTGGAATTGTTATAGAAAATTTCTGTTAGCAATAAAACCGCTTATGTACATGCGGCAATTTTTGTTTGAGAGCCAGTTTCTAATTGAAAGTCCGATCATCGATCAACCTTAATTAAAATTTTCACAGCAAGCCGTCGTTTTTCTGCGTGAAAAAATGCAATTTCAACAAATACTATTTTTATAAATAGTTCCTAGTTTTTATTATAATATTTACAATAAGAAAGTTGCAAAGAATTATTATTAATTTTATTTTACAAAATGATCCATAAAATTTCAAACAGAAATAAGATAATTTCATTTTATACAAAGTTTTTAAGGTAATAAGAAACTTTTTTTTTTTTTTTTTTTTAATGCCAATCGACAATGAAAAAACTTTTATTTTATAAATTTATATCACTTCAGTTGACTGTTGAAAATTTATGACACTAAAACTCAACCTATGGGACGAGGGTTTCACATTTCGCAAACCTGGATGTTCCCCAATGAACTGTACACTTTAATAGACTCACGTTAAACATTCCCTCGAGTTGCACATATAAATGATCGTTAATTTAATTTCAGAAAAAAGAAATTGCTCTGTTCTATATTCTAATGAAAATAATAAAAAGTGATCTATCGTATAAAAAATCGATTTTCACGTTTTTTTTTTGGAAATTTCCGATAGAAAATCTCTAGTACGCCTTATTGGAACTGCCATTTTGAATTTTGAAAATCATGTCGGAATCGTTTTTTTTTTTTTGTTATCTAAACTTTTTTTGAGGTCAATTTAATTGATTCTTTCGTAATTCTTATTGTATAACTAATGATGGCCACGCCCATTTCGTAACTGAACAATGCTCTGAGATGCAGTCATCCGTTTTATAGGTTGACATTAGCGAGATGGAGAGTTAAATGTCCCGACATTTTGCCGCAGGTCTGCCACCACCCCTTATAAAGCGATGCCTTCCCCCATTCTAAAGGAAATCACTGTCAGCTAATTGTAGTTCGATCACAGGTCGCTCCACTTAACCGCAGCTATTACCACATTTAATCGAAACTACAATAATTGTTTATTGACCTTTTTATACAAATACAAATTAATTAATTAGAATTACTTTTTTTAAAATAGAAAATCAAAAATACAATTTAAAAAAAAAATTTTTAATAAAATTCCTTTTTTCAATTGAACAAAAATTAAGTCTTGACACACAAAAATTTAACGCAAAAATAAAGTTATTTTGTAACTAAATGTTCTTTTATAAAATAAAAATATAGTTTAAGAAAAAAGATCAGAGTTTGAAACCAAAAATGTATGTCCCTTGTGACCGTAGGTCCACGACATTGCTTATCGATTCTGTCGATTTGATTGACGTGCTGTGAAAGGTTCCTGAATGAAAAAGTTTTTTTTCCAGTGGCCGCAAATTTTCTCTTTCTATCTTTATTTCAACTTTTTTTTTTTTTTTATTCTCTGCTTTTTGTAACAACTTTTATAGACTCTTGATTCAGCAGTAAAAAGCAATTTGCATTCAACAAACTATTTATTTGTTACGAAAATAAAAGTAAAAAAAAAAGGTTTTTAATTCTACTTTGAAAAAATTTAGTTTTCTTTTTCTTTTTTTTGATACATCATTTTATGAAAAGATGCATATCTTCAAGTCAGTTTAGATTTTGGAGAGATGGATATAATTTTTTAATTAATTTCGACATTACATCATTTTATCATTGATGAATTCAAAATATAAATTACTCAATGAATAATTTTGCATAGTTAAGAAAATTAATTAAAATGATGTTGTATATATATATATACAAGATATATACTCCTTTCTGTACCACCACTAACGTATAAAGTTTGTTCTACCTTGATCCTATGAAATTATATCAAAACTAGTGGTCCATAATCCGTTTGTCAGTACAGAAATTGGATTTGAAATTCACTGGATAAAAGTTAACAGGGGATCAAATCAATTTCAATTATAGTCGAACTTTTGGGTTTTGTTTAATAAAATGAGAATTTCTTAAATCACAAAATACAGATGTGAAAGTTATTTTAGATTTTAGACAACATATATTTTCAACCTTCTAAAGTTGTACTTGGATCGGTTCGTTAATTATTTCTGCCCTCCAGGGTGCGAGTGTAGCGTCGTTTCAAAAGTTAAACGAGCTACACATTAAAGTTCGTCCGCGTACTAAAATAGATTAGAATTGCATTTCAACTAGAAGTGGCACGTTCCAGGGTGACATTCCTAGTTCGTGTCCAGCATTTTCACAAAAAACTGCGCAATAGAATTTCCATCTTTTTTTTTTTATGAGTAATGAAAGTATCAAAAATTATAACTTTGCAAATGTATTACAATTCTTACAAAATATATCATGCAATAAAAAAAAGGTGAAAAATTTTTGATTCCATTTTTCGTGTAAAAAATTCATTTTGATTTAAAAATTTTTTATTACCTCGTTAATAAATGCATACATGTTTGAAAATAAAAATAAAAATAAATAAAACTAAAATCGTCCAGTCTTTACAAGTAGATATTTCATATAAAACTGAAATTGCGGTGCAAATTTTATGCGAGATTTCCCTCGCTTCTGGAGTGCAAAAGGCGCGGTGCTTTTGCAAAGAGGCAAGAAATAAAGTGAGAACAGGTTTACCACCAGTCGAAAGTTGGCAAGCGGCCTATTATGAAGAGTAAATTTTTGGTTTTGTCCCACGAATTCTGCGATGCGAAAGAAATTCAACGAGAGAAAAAGAGAACAGCAAATTTTACATGTTAAATTTATGTTAAAAATGCAAATATTCTAGCAACAAGAAAATATTATAAAATCTTAAAATTCAATTTCGTTTACGCAAATAAAATTTCCCCCCAAAAAAAAAAATTGTATTATCATTGTAATTTGTTTTTTTAAATCAACTTTAAATTTAAAAAAAAAAAAATTACAAGTTTTCGATTAGAATCGATTTTTGTTTCCGAAGTAAGGTACAAGAAAAGAATTTCTCTCGTGGAAAAAAAAGAACTGATAATGAAAAATTGCTTCAAAGGAGACTTTATTTTAACTTCAAATGCAAACTTTTTTTTTTCAAAGAATCTATTTTCTACTTCAATCCACTTTGAAAGTTAATTACATACTTTTTACGATTTTTTGCTTTTGCATCTGGTAATAGTAAATTTTTAAGGAATTTTAAAAGGATCTCTGGAAATTTTCTTACGAACTTTCAGAAATAAATAGTTACGACATTTATTAGATAACAGAATGATTATATTATACAAAGAAAAATTTTAACAAACATCCGAAAGAAAATTTTGCTGCACAAAAAAACTTTGAGAGAAAAAGTGAAATTTTATGTATTTAATAAAACAGTTTAGTATCAAAAAATTTAATTTATAAAATTAAATGTGTGATGCAATAAAATTCTAATAAGAGACAAAGAAATTTTGTTGTATTAAAAGTTTTAACTAAAATTCCTTAAAAACTGAGAATTCTTTGATATAGGAAGGAAAAATTAATATCGCGCTTATACGCCAGAAGCAGATTTTGCTAGTTTCAAAAACACCATTTCTACTGAAGGGAAATATGAAATTAACTTATTTCCCAGTCCCGTTACTATTTGCCAGCACTTCTGTTTCCGTATTTCAATTTTTTTTTTTTGCATTTTAACATCAAAATCTAATTTCTACATCACATAATAGAAAAGTTATAAAGTCATAAATTATGTATTCATAATCCCTTCAAACTATTTCGAACAATTTATTATTCGTACTTTGTAAATTTGAACGAGAAACTATGCTAAATTTAACACAATATTGATTCAAAGAAATTTACACACATTTATTCTTTTTCTAAAATCAAAATTTTTGTATAATTCTTTTTCTAAAATCAAGATTTTATGTATAATTGCAATTTATTTTTAGTAAAAACAGCAATACAGTAGTATAGGTAAATCTCTTGTCAGACTTTTTTAATTAATCGTATAATTTTACAGTAGTAGAAGTAAACTTTTAGTCAGACGTTCTAAACATTTATACATATTTTCAGTAGTACGAGTAAATATTTAGTCAGGCATTCTTTATTTATAATATTATTTAGTATTATAAGTAAATTTTTAGTCAGACTTTAAAAATGCTGATAATTTTTCAGTAGTACAAGTAAATATTTCATCAGGCTTTCTTTATTTGTAATTTTGTCAGTAGTATAAGTAAATTTTGGTCAGGCATTTAAATATACGTATAATTTTGTCAGTAGAACAAGGAAACCTTTAGTCAGACATTCTAATAGTTTGCACAATTTTTTCAGTAGTACAAGTAAATCTTCAGTCAGACTTTTTAAATATTTTTGTAATTTTATCAGTGATATAAATAAATCTTTAGTCAGACTATTTTTTTATTTGTATAATTTCTCAGTATGTACGTCAATCTATAGTCAGGCGTTACGATCATTCAAAAATTTTGTCAATGGTATAAGTAAATCTCTAGTCAAACTTTTTTAATTATTCGTATAATTTCTCAGTAGAAGGAGTAAAACCTTTAGTCAGACGTTCGAAAAAATTATACATATTTTCAGTAGTACGAGTAAATATTCAGTCAGGCATTCTTTATTAATAACATTATTCAGTATTATAAGTAAATTTTTAGTCAGACTTTAAAAATGCTGATAATTTTTCAGTAGTACAAGTAAATATTTCACCAGGCTTTCTTTATTTGTAAATTTGTCAGTAGTATAAATAAATTTTGGTCAGGCATTTTAAACATACGTATAATTTTTTCAGTAGAACAAGGAAACCTTTAGTCAGACATTCTAATAGTTTGTATCATTTTTTCAGTACTATAAGTAAATCTGCAATCAGACTTTTTAAACATTTTTGTAATTTTATCAGTAATATAAATAAATCTTTAGTCCAATTTTTTATTTATTTGTACAATTTCTCAGTATGTAAGTAAATCTTCAGTCAGACTCTTTGAGCATTCAAAAATTTTGTCAGTAGTATAAGTCAATTTTCAGTCAGACTTTTGAAAAATCCATACAATTTTGTCAGTAGTACAAGTAAATAATAATCCACACTTTCTAAATAATTGTATAATTTTTCAGTAGTACAAGTAAATATTTAGTCAGACTTTATAACATTTTGTATGATACAATTTTGTCAGTGGTATAAGTATATCTTTAGTCAAACTTTTTTAATTATTCGTATAATTTTGTCAGTTTTTGTATAATTGAAATTTATTTTTAGTATAAAGAACAATAGAAAATTTTTGTTTTTAAATATCATGATTAATATTATGATAAATGATCACTTTATTTTTGAACCACATTATTAATATATTTATGATTATGAAATTATATTATAAAAATCAAAATTTTCAGTCAAAAAGAATATTTCATGTGGAGGAAACATTTGGTTAAAACTGATTTAAGTACAGAAAGGTAAGCTGAGAAATTATGTAAATTTAGAACCCTCATGCGAGCATGAATGCATAAGTTCAAATGTTAAACATAATAAACGTAAACTTGAGAAAACCATTATTAATTTACTTGGTACTCTCATTACTTTAGCAACTTATTTCTGTAATTGATGTAGTAACGAGGCACTTGCTAATTTAAACGTACTAAAGTGTCACGAATTCATCAACGTCTACGATGTCAGTGTATATAATCAGAAATTACATTTTCCTCATAAATTTTGAATTTGAGACAAAAAAAATATATTTAGAGAGTAAAAAAATTATTTCTTCGATTTTTAATTTTCATCCGTAAATAATTTTTTTTTCATTTCTTCTCTTTGAAAATGAATTAATACGTTAATTAAATATGAAAATTAAAATATTTAATAAAAAAAATTTTAAATAAAAAAATTTTAATTTAAAAATTATAATTAAAATTTATTTACATTTTCTCTAAGTGAACTTCAATTTATTACTCACCTTCTCACCACTATCGCTTGGAAGATAAAAAGTTAGTACAGTAAGAAATGAAATTCCCATGCAAGGAATAATAATGTTGACGGTGTAGAAAAGCGTTTTTCTTCTCATGGTGATGTTGAAAGTAATATCCAAATAAGGCTCGTCGCAACATGTGTAAAACTTTTCATTTCTGAAAGGAAAAAAAAATTGCTTCATTTTTTTTTGCAAAACATTTTATAAAAATTTTAAAACATATCTTCAATTATATTTGTTTATTGAACCAAATTATTTTAGAAATATTTTCCAAAAAATTCGGTAAAACTTTTTTTTTTGTCATTGTGCACAAAATAAATTATGGAATCCTATATGAACTAGACAATTGATATTTGTAGGATGAGTAAAACTAAGATTTTTTCTCACTGTAATTAAATTCTTCAATTATTGATCTGAATTCCACTTGAAAATTCCATAATGTCTAGAGTCTACAAAAAAAAAAAGTGCAGTTGCTTGCAAAACAGTTCATAAATCTTGAAAAAATTTATTATCTTACTCGTAGAATTATATACGCTCAGGTTTTGAAGTGGAAAACGAAATTTACGTCTTGCATTTCATGAAAAGTAGGTATTAATTTATGTGCCTGAAAAATGAGTCACATTATGTCGCGAGAATTCTACAGAAATAAAAGTTGTTCACATTTGTCGTTAAAAATGAAAAATTTATTCTTGAATATAGAAGAAATAAATAAAAGTGAAGTAAATATTTAAAAAAATATATATATATATTAACGGCTTATTAACTATTCTATTAAACTATCTATCAAAAAGAAGATTTGCAATTTAAAGATTTCATTAAACTGGATTTAAAAAAAAAAAAAAAAACGATGAAAAACTTCTCCAGGATCATGAGGAAATTTTTATTATTTTTAATTAGACGGAAATGAGTGTAAAAAGTTTAATAAAAGTTACTTCAAAGTTTTACGAAGAAGACAATTAATTTTCCCAATAGAAGATGAACGTTAAATAAATTTTAATTGCTTTTAGTATTTACCTTACTGCTGGTACTTCGAGGATATCCCACTCTACTGACATATAGAACTCGGATAAATCGACGCCAACGTCCACAACATTGCTTCCAGATTTTTCATCCATGTGCCTCAGGTCAACCTATGTAATAAAACAGTTGATTTTTAAAGAATTGAAAGTGTTGTAGTTTTAAAATATCAGAGTCATTTATCCCCTGCATTTATCTCGGCATTCTAAATTTTTTTTTTTTTTAAGACTACACAATAGCATTTGGTTCATTGTGCTCGTGTTAAGAAAAAATTAATTGAAATTAGAGCTCATTTCAAAAATTGATATTTAATTTATTAATCCGATATTTAATTTATATAAAATATTCGTTATTGTAAATTAACAAGAGCACAGTGGACATATTTTTCTTTTTTAAATATAGAGCCTAGTGAACACATACACTAATATTTTCAACGATATTTCCTAGAGGCATTAGTAATGCTTATTAATTAAAATTAATAACATAAGCGTTTTTTTTAAATTTTCATAAATTAATAAAATATTGTTAAATAGTATTGTTAATCTGTTATAGAGGTTTTAAACATAAAATTGTTTTTAAAATCAAATCAGAATACTATTTATTCTTTGGGAGAAATTGATACGAAATAGAAATTTCAATTAAAATAGAACGATATTTAATAGAAAGGTATATGAATTTCAGAAATGGTTTAAAATTATATTTTTTCTAACACTGAAAAAATAAGAAAATTAGAATTTATCAAAAAAAAATAAATTTTATAAAATATATTTGGTATAATATTTAAATAATATATTAAGATTACTGTTGCCTTGTAGGAAAATTCGTAGCATTTGCAGAACTATAAATGCAGTATCGCATTTAGATATTACTCTTATAAACACATAGAAACAGGCTCAAACGATCATGGACGTCCACTCAGTCTCCAGGCAGCGTGATCAAACAGTCGTAATAAACATTGCTTTACTAAAAACGACACGTTTTAGCTCTCTAACTATTGCCGATAATTAACACACAATTGAAATCACAATTATGTTTCGAGAAAAGTTTTTTGGAAAAATTAATATTCCTTTCTCGAGACATTGCAAAAATTTATATTACAAATGATTGTGCCCATCCCTTTCGCAATTTTTCACATAACTTATTTAATTTATTATTAATTTATAATTATTATTTATATTAAATATAATTAATTATTTTCAATATAATTTTTAAAAAACCTTTTTAATATATTTTGGAAAAAAATATTTCCATCATTTTAAAAATTATAAATACCAAATTAAAAAAAAATTTTGTAAACTATTTCACAAATCAGTAACTGAACGTTCCTAGTTCGGTTTCTAAATAATTGTAATTTTTTCCTAATTATTTTTCTGTAATAACATAGTAAAAATAGATTCTGTGAGAGAAGAAACACCAAATTACTAAATTTGTTTAAAAAAAAAAAATAGTGCCATAAAAAGCTACTTTTGATGAAAAAATGCTTTTTAGTTTGTAAAGAGAGTGCACAATATAATTCTAGAAGTGATGACGTGCACGGAAATCTTTTTTTTTTTGAATATATAAAGATTACCAAAGAAATTATGTATTTTTTTATATATTTTTTCTATAGGACGATTCTTATTTGTGATTTTTCGTGCATATATATAGAACAATAATAAAAAAAAAATTGTTGCAGAAAATATTATAAAATATATGTAAAATAAATAGTTTTCGATGTATTGAAAACTTCTTAAGTTATCGAACCCTGAAGGGTGTTAAATAATTCTTTTTGAGCCCGAGGGAGTTCATGCGAATAGTCGTATCAACTTGAATTCGAATCGATCGTCGGACGATGGGAATAAACTTTAAAAGAGGAGTTCAAATGCTCTCGAGCACATACCAGCTATGCAACTTAAAAATAGACATCAAAATTTTCCTATTCCCTCTTGAAAAGTTACCAACACTTATATATATATATATATATATATATATATATAGTCTCATCAGAGACTGCATGAATTTCTCTATTTTTATTTATTTCAAATTTTTTTCTCTCTCCAATAATTCAATTTTTTATTAAAAATTTTTAAAATTTTATATATTATTTTTATAAAAAAAAAATGAAGCTAATGATTTTTTTTTATAGGAGAAAATTAATTTACTATGATACCTATAGTATGTAATGAATGTAATTGAAAAAAAAGAGGTGAAGAAGTTTTCTTTAACTAAGGAGATATTTCTATCTTGGTTCAGCGGGAAAATCAAGCTTTCCGATTTACATAAAATTTGATGAGAAGAGACCTCTCTTACGATGCAATATTCATGACTCGAGACGTCGTGTCGTACTCTTGGTTTCTAAATCGAGTTGTAATGCAATAATCGAACTCCTTCATTAATCAATAACTTCACTTCTGCATAATCAATCATAATTTGAATTTCTCTTCCTTAATTTTCGTATAAGATCGAAACAGAAATGTTTGTTTATATACATCCAACAAGGATGTTTGGAAATTATGAAAATTAAAAATAAACAATAGTAAAAAAAAAATACTCTGAAAATTATCTAGTTTTAACCGAATTGTCCGACATTTTGAATCCGCCATTTTGAATTTTAAAAATCTAATGAGATTCGCAATCATTTCGGAATCATTTGAGTAATGAATTTTAAACAAATCCTCTTTAACAATTATTCCGCCATATTGGATCCACCATTTTCCATTTGGAAAAAAATTGAATGTCATGAAAAATCATTCAGAAATAGCTTTAGTTCCTCTAAAAATTGAACTTTATTAAGTTAATTTAACAAAGTAATCCTTAGGTTTTTTTTTTTTGTCAAAGTAAAGTAAGTTTTAATAGATTTGTAGAAGTGGAAAATCTTTTTCCTCGCACTTTTGTACAAGGGAAAATGAATAATTTTCATTTCAATGCAATAAATGAAATTTCCACGATAAGCTGAATGTGAAAATTTTAATTTAAAAAATTTTCTCAATAACGTTGAATATAGTTTTTGAACAATAATTACAGTTGGGTCAGAGATATAATACACACTTATACATATACATATATATATCTGATCCAACTGTATATATATATATCGTTGGTTCAACTACAGTTATATAACTTATTTAAACTCAATCCTCAACATATTCATCTCTGCTCCAGTAACTTTTCGCATTAGGCATCCTGCATATTTGATTTATTCCTTGAATTTAAAATTAATTGCACTTTCCACTGCGCTGCAAACGTGAAAGTAGATTTACCTATGAGTAGGTAACAGGCCTCGAGAGACCACTCAACAGGTATGCGGCTTTCAACGATCATGAGATGTTCTTGCAAATTGGATAGAAATGGCTATAATGTTAAGATCGACTTTTGTTTTAAGTTTCAAAACGAAAGGAGTCATTTAAAAAGTCCAGAAATTATAAATTCGATTTTTCAAGAGCATTACACTTTATCAAACAAAAAAATTAATTTTTTCAACAAAATCTCGATTGTAATTTGTACTAGAAGTTAGAAAAATTAACTTTTAAAAATCTATTATTTTCTAAATAACTTTTAAGCTAGTAAACATTTTAAATATAAAAAAATTGTTTTGTTTTTAAATTGAAAAATTTTATTTTTTTTGAAGAAAAATTTACAATAAAAAAATATATCCAAACATTAACTGTGCAAATATCTTTATAAGAATCCATATATCTATTTATAATACACTGTAGCAAACTGACTAATAGTACTTTCCCTCCAATATTTAATGTGTCATTAAGTATGTTGACCTTTCACCTCACATCACCGATACATATTATAGTTTTTGGTCGGGTTCTCGAAAATAAATATATCCTACGGGCTTTTATTTCTAAATTAACCATCGGTGCCATTATTTACAATAAAATATGTCACTATAAAATTAAATGCATAAAGATAATCTTATTATTATTAAACCATTATTCGTCATTAAGGGGGAAAAGAAGTGATTCCTCATGTAAATATATATATTTTATGTCGCTTTCCTCGTGCAAAAAAAGCTTGATAGATTGAACTGATATTTTACTATATATAATACTTGATATAGATTTTTTATTTCGCACAAACTGAAAATTTTTTATGTTACGAAGATCTAGATATAATTCTTGAATAAACATTGAATTTGTTAAATTATCTGCGGTTTCTTTCATGAAACATTTCACCGAAGAACTTTTAAAGTTTCACCGCAATTGTGGTTGAAGGTATAACATTATACGAAAGTGTCAGTCTTTATAATGTTTACCCTCTTTACATGTAAATGACGTGGTAAATTGGTTAGTTTAGTACAACTAATTATAGATATTAGATAATTTTCGTTTGTCAAAAAACAAAGAAAATTGAAATCGATTTTTACATATTTTGAAAAAATCAATAAAAAGCTCTGCGTGATTTCCCATCGACATTGATCGACGGCATGAATGATGCAGCATGACTCCACACAAATCAACAAAGAATTTCTGAACCACAATACCTAATTTTTTTTCTTTGCTCTCGATTGAAAATAATTTAAATGCGCGCAAGATTTATTGAAAACTTTCGGCGAATATTTATTAGATGATAAGAAAGCATTTTATTTTTCGAAATTAAAAAAAAGGCCTTTCTGACACCGAACCAATAATCTTATTTGGTATTTTATAATTTTCTTTGTTGTTTTCTAAAAAAAATTTTTTTATCCATTAAAACATGATGCGGATTTTGTTAAAAATATAATTAAACAAGAGATTAGTTTAGCAAGCTAGCATTTCAGAATTTGCAATAGGTCCGTCGTTCTCGTAACAAACTGCAATTTAACTCCCAACAATAGAGTGGCATGGCGCGTCGCTCATTACGAATGCAGTTTCCTCTGTTCTGTCTAGACGATGCAACTTCCTCACACCCTTTTGTATTGTCCCTGTCCATCTCTAGATGCGATTTATTGCCATTCGCACTATCCGCAAAATTTTACCAGAATATTCTTCAATATCGGTCGCAATAATCATTCTTTTTTTAAAATTGCCTGGTGTAGATAACATTTTAAAAAAAGGGGCTGAAACTACAAAAAAATTGAAAGCTAGTTCTGCATTACTTGATATATATATGGTATATATATGGTAAATTTTGTATGGTAACCGTT